AGGGGCTGGGGGAGGGAAAAGAGGGTAAAGGGGGGTAAACAGGGATGGAAGGAGACTTTAGGAAAAAAAGAAATGATTCAAAGAACCTAAAAAGAAATCAGTAAAAGGGAAAGCTCAAGTCACAAGCTGAGAAACTCACTTAGATGCTGATAAACTTTGGCAGTCAAGACAGAGGTGAGCTGAGCATTCATTTTAAGAAGGAGCAATTTTTTTTTTAATTTTGAAGGAAATGAATTCTTTTCTAAATGTATTTTTAATAGGAGTACAGTTGACATACACTGTTATATTGGTTTCAGGTGTGCAACACAGTGGTTTGACGTTTGCAGACCTTAGGACAAGATGACCACGCGGAGCCTAGTCACCATCTGTCACGGTGCAGAGTTATAATAATATTACTCATTTTGTACGGCGGACACACACCCGGGTGACTGAACGTTTGTACCTCTTATTCTCTAGAAAGAGTAATTTTTAAATTGTCCTCTAAGAATAAAGTAAAAACGCCAAGACACTTCCCGCCTCGTCACGAAACGCCACAATCCCAGCCCAGCGCGCGGCCGCAGCCGAGCGGCCTGCCAGGCCGGGCTGGGTGCCCGTCACAGCCTCCCGAAGGGTCAGGGTGACCCAGGCGGCTGGGCGCTGCGCTCCTTCCCTAACAACTCACTTCCGGTGGTTGTGGATTTGCCTATAAATTCCTTGTCTTGTACATTTCACTCCAAAAGCCTTTAAAGCAGAACCGGGAGGTCCAATGAGCCCTAGGCTGCCGGGGTGATCTCTTCACAGGGTCTACAAACGTCTGATGACTCTGTTGTACTGAAACTACTACGACATGGCATGTCAAGTGTAATTGAGATTTCCAAAAAAAATTTTAATACAAACAGAAAGAAAGAACAAAAGGAAGGAAGGAAGAAGGCAGGCGGAGAAGCTGGACACCCAGAGCTTTCTTTGGATTTAGGCAGCCGAGCACAGCTCTGGCCTGTACGCGGAAACACGGGGCACACTGAACCCAAGGAGGAGCAGAGACAGGCAAATTCGGGGGAATAAAGGGGATTAAAATGCGTAAAGCAACCTAGGGAGGTTGGAAACTAATTTTCCAAAGCAAGATACTGGCTTTCATTTTGGGTCACATTGAATAGTTTCACGCCAAAAGCTCCAGGGAACACTCGGCTGTGACCCCGTGTTTTAAAGTGACTGTTAAATGAAGCGGCTCCATAAAACACTCCCCTACCAGGATAATGTCCCCGGAACAACAACGGGAGAGAACAATCACTTCTAATACACATGCAGTACTTCTAAATTAGTAAATAAACTAAAAACGCAGACCCTTCTGAGTATTTATTATAACAGGTAAAAGTTTTCCGTATTTCCTTAGAGTCACTACTAAGTTTTGGTGAGAGGAACCTCCACAAAGTGTAAATATTGCAAGTCATTTATAAGGAATCACTCTTCAAAATGGCTCGTAACAGTGAAGTTCGGTATTTTTCTATTTTGTTTCTTGGCACATTCTCTTTTGATTTAATAACACGGTGCTGGAAAAGCTTCCTGTACACGCCTTCCAATGCGTGGAAGCCGATCTCCAGCGTTCCAGTCCAAAGGCACGTGCTCTCTCGGCCTCTTAGTTCAAAGATTAAATCAGAAATCAATGACTGGAAATGTTAACACCCCCTCGTTTGTCCTTAGCTGAGGATAACTGGAGGCAAGAGTCGTTTTCGTTCCTTAAGGCGGAAGCTTTGTTATCTCCCATTTATGAGTCTTCCCTGAGCTGTTTCTCTCTTCTCTTCGAGATCTGCCCCTCCGTCCTCTGGCGAAACAGGACTCGAAGCATAAATGGAGATAAAGGGCTATGGTGAAACCAAAAGGAAGGTGCCCCCTGTCACCTTTGGGCGGGCTCATCTCACCTCCCATTTACCTGTTCACGGATCCGGAGGCCTGAACACTCTGCTTCAGGGACCTTAGGGACAAAGCCGCCTCTTGCCAACAGGCTCCTCGCAGAGCGTCCACACACCGAGGGGTTACCTGGCCCCAGATGGGCCACACGCTGCAGGGAAAGCCCCGGAGACCCGTCCTCACTGCAGCTCCATGGCCGCTCAGCGGAGGCCTTCTCCTCTCTAAAGCGAGGCCGGACGCAGCCAAACGCCTGGTCCCCGTGCGAACCCACGCGCGTTCTCTCCTGGATGCACCAACCTCCTCCACCCTGGATTCAAAACCGGGGCACTCGCCTGAGGAGCAACTCCACAGCTTTCATCCCGTTTGCAAGGGCTCTCACTCGCGTGGCAGCCTGAGAGCCACGGGGCCAAGACCCCCCGCGGCCCTCGCGCCGAGAAGCCGTGGGACGGCGGGCCAAGCACGTGGCTTTGAAACCCAAGTCTCAGGACGCGTGGGACAAGCGCTGCATCAGGGGAGCACCAAGTGGGCCTCCCTTGCCTGTCTATGGAAATCTATAAAAATACCTACTTCACAGGGAGCCGATGAAGAGTAAATAAGCAGGATGCTAACCAAAAATTCCTAACTTACAAAAGTTAGTCCCATTATGCAAGAAGACAAAAATCATTTCAGAGGCTTTTTATGTCCCCGTTTGACCGCTGAGGCACACCCGTCCCCGCTCCCACCCACACCCAGCCACGGCAGGACAGAGACTGCGCTCCGCACGGTGCGGCCGTCAGCCTCACGCGGCAGAACCGCGGCAGAACCGCGGCAGAACCGGCATCCAGGCTCGGGCCCCCCAAAGAGGCACAGAATCTGAACGCTCTCGTTGGGTGACATCACACTTCAGAAACGAAAGTATTTAAAATGAACCCCTTTGGGGGTCCCCACACTTACCAGACCTTAAGAAAGCCGGCGGGGAGGTCACGGCTGCGTCAGGCGAGCGGGCCATTTCAAACTGTGGGCTCTACGCACAAGCGTCCCAGGCTAAACTACAGCGATTTTCCCACTGTTTAGTGAAGGTTAGAAGCAATCAGCATTAGATTAATTGAAAGCAGTGTGAGCAGTTGTTAACATGATGCAGTGTGCAACAGACAATCATCGAGGTTCATTATAATTTTATTCTCTTTTTATGACTTGAAAATGTGCTTTGCTTTGGTAAGTTACAGTTGCTTACATAAATTAGGCAGAAATACACAACATCCACTTATCAAATGTTACCTAAGAGTGTCATTCTCTACTCAGCGGCCATTATGCCGCGATGTATATGTCACAATGCTCAGACCTCCGCAGCGACGACTCCCTCGGAATCAGGTCGGCCCCAGCTCCCAACAGAGCTCGGCTTGTGTATTCTTCGAAAAGTAACGAGGGCCAGATTGATGGCTTTTAATGACATAGGACGTCAGTGATTCACTCGGGAAACTTTGTAGCTCGTAGGGCAGAGTTAAAAGAATCTGACACCTCAGCTCACACAGAAGAATGACTTCCAATGGCACCTCTGTCACTGCCATGATGTAAACATGCCAGAACATCCGACATCTATACTATGCACCAAACTGCTTTGCCCGTGAAACCACATTGAAGTGACTGCATTCAACGATATTTCAATAAAACTGGAACTTTTTTCTCAGTTAAGGAAGGGAGGGTAGGTTTTCAAAGCTTACTGTTATGACATGCACTTCAGAGGAAATAAGAACTAGAGAAGAAAACAAACCCTACGTGCTTATTAAGGGGAAAGAGAAATGCTTTTGAAACATTTCAAGGGCAGAGCTCCATTCCTGTAAAAAACTCAGATGATTCTCTGACCAGATATTCTTATAATTCTTTATAACCCAGACACATATGTGGTTAGTGGTCAACTCAACACTTCAATAGGAAACAACAATTTTAAGAAAAAGTGTGAAACAAAAATATGTGTGACTCTTCTAAGTAACTATATTGACTCAAATGTGCTAAGGGCTACTTTTTGAGAACTTCTCTCCTACTTTCCCCGGGGGTTTTGGTATCACCCTAATAAGCACAGAACTTTTTTAAGGTTTTAAAACAATGAAATCAGCAACAAACATTGGGCAAATTCCTTCGGCGTGCCTTATGAAATTAGGTAATTTCTTCAAATTAACCAAAAAAGGCAGAGTACACAACAGATGTCTAAGACCTTCCTACATGGGAAGAGCCCTAGACATCCTATCAGCTGAGAAACTTACTGTTCTCTCTAAACATTAATGCAAACGCAGAGCCAGTGTTCCCGGGGCTGTGCCTTTGTTTTCCGAGTAGCAACACTAACGTTATTAGCATCTCCCAACTCGGACACACAGTAACGAAGATTCCTGGTGGGAGACTCGGCTTTCCTGGTCACAGGCTCACTTTCAGCCCTGGAGCGCTCGCGGCCCGCGCGGAATCGGAGACGGTTCAATCCCGGCTCTCAGGGGACTTCTCAGCCACAAGTGCTAGCTTCGAAGTCGTGACTTTGCAATTTGGAGAAGCCAGTTCAGGACACTTGAACTCTTTGGACAGCCTCCGCGGAGTCTTGGGACCTCGGTGGCCTCGGGCTTGAGCCCCGCCTGCAAACTAGGTGCCCTGGGGCCACTTGCCCAGGGAGGGACCTGCTTCCCTCGGAGCCCCAACTGTGCTCCACGGGACCCCTTTCGTGGCCTGAGCCATGCCCCCCCCTCCCATTCTGCCACCGAGATCACTGGCTGTGGCTCAGGACGTGAGGGGAATGTCAAAAGGACATGAAATAAGGCAACTGACAGATCACAGTCCTATCCGAGAGTGAAGCCGTTTGACTTTTGGGAACACACAGAAGGACACACTGTCGTGGGCAGGAACGTGGTCGCCGTCTGACTTCTAAGGAGGAAGCCTCCGGGCGACGTCGGTGTCACCACTAGTTTCCGAGGGGGGACACACACGAGAGAACGTTGGGGCCTCCCCCTCGTTTCTAGGGTGGGGGGCAGCACCGTGCGCAAGGCCAGATGGCCGACCGCTGTCCGAAGGGACGCGCGCGGGCACAGGGCTCACTCCAGGACCCCACCTGCCCCCCGCCCAGGCGCTCGGGGGGAGGAGCGCCCCGCTTGCCAAACCTGAGCGCTTGGCCCGGGCTCTCCGCTCCAAGACCGTCCAGCTCACTTCGGCCATGCGCCCCGCCGCCCCCGCCATCGCGCCGGGGCCACTGCCTGGCCCGCCACCGCCCCCGGGGCCGCCTGTCACCACAGCCGCCGGCCCCGCCCCCCCGCGCGACACTGTCGGGACGCGCGGCGGCCGGAAGTGAGCGCGAGGTCTCTCCCCGCGCGCCCAGGGCCTGCGCCGCGTCAGTCGGAGGGGCGCGCGCGGGACACGGGGGCGCGAGGGCGCGAGCGCGGGCGGCTCGTGCGAGCAGCGGGGCGGCGCGGGGCGGGCGGGGCCGGCGGCGGTGCTTTGCGGCTGCCGTCAAGCGCGGCGCGGGGCCGGCGGGCGGGGCCGAGGGCGGCCATGGCGGCGGGCCGGCGGCCGGGCGCCTGGGTGCTGTGGGCGCCGCTGCTCGGGGGGCTCGCGCTGCTGGGAGCCGGGCCGGCCCCGGCGCGGGCGCTGCACAACGTCACGGCCGAACTCTTCGGGGCCGAGGCCTGGGGCACCCTGGCGGCCTTCGGAGACCTCAACTCCGACAAGCAGACGGACCTCTTCGTGCTGCGGGAAAGTCAGTGCCTGCCCGGCCCTCCCTGTGCCCGCGTCCCCGTGCCCCTCGCGGGGCCCCCTGCGCCCCTGGCCAGGGGGGCTGGGCTCCCTCAATCTCCCGGCCCCCGCTCCCAGCCCTGACTCCCTCGCCCTTTACCTCCAGCATCCTTGACTGCTTGCCCGCCTCCTCCAGCCTTTCCCCTCGGGTCCTGGCCCGGCCACCCCGCAGTGGGATGTACCCCCCACCCCAAAGCCCTGGAAACACCCCAGTTTTTCCCTGAGAAGCCCGCGGCCTTCCCCCTGTGCCCCCTCCTCCCCATGGAATCACCTGCCTTCCAAAGTCCTTCCTGGTCCCCCGGAGTCTCCGTAGCCCCTGCATCCCTTCCTTTCTCCCCTGCCCCCGCGCCCCTCCCCCTTCATCCCCTTTCGTGAGCTGCAAACGCTGCGCCTTGACAGTCTCTGCTCGCAGGCCTTTCCCCTGCCCCCGCTCGTCGCCCTCGCTTTGCCAGGGTCCCAGCTTTCTTGGAAGTTCCTGGGCCCTCCCAGCTGGCCCGTCCTTGCTGTGGTCACTACCCTAGTTTTCCGCATCTCTGCTTTCTTTGCCAACTTGAGGTTCTTGGGAGTTCCTGGCTTTAACCATCCTTAAACAATGTTTTGGTTGGTTTGTTTGTTTGTTTTTTAATCTTGATGTTGACAATGGGCGTTAGAGGGTCTTGGCATTCTTGAGAACCCCTAGCCCAGGTGTTGTTTAAGGTCAAGGCCAGGAGGAAAAGAGTGAAGTCTTATGCAGAGCTTGACTACAGGGTCCTGGCCCAGTCTTCTCTGGGTGCTTCTGAAGACCCCAGAGCCTCTCTTGAACCCTGGGTATTTTCCCTGTCTCTGTATGGCCCCAAATGTTGCAAAAAGGGTGCATACTCCCAAACCTGTAGCTACTCCACCCAAACGGGGTACAGAGACTCTTCTTTTAATGTTAAAGGTGGCTCGTGTTTGGACAGCCCTAAAATTCTGCTCCACCGAATGCTCACCGAGTTCTAAGAATGCAGCATCCCCCGGGGCAGGTTCCAAGGGAGCCACAAGAGGGTCTTGCACGATTCAGCTTTTTCTGCTGAAATACGTGACCGTGTCCTCGTTAGTCAGACACCTACTGTTGGAGAGGCTGTGTCCTTCACGTGATGCGTCTGATGGACTAAGCAGCCTTAATAAGGGTCTTCGGTGGTGGGTTTGGGGAAGACAGGGCCTGACATAGAGTTACGAGCAGGTTCTTTATGTGGTTCTTTGAAGAGAACCCATCTGGCTTCTGGCCGAGGCCGTTCCTTGGCTTCAGGTTGTCCTGACCAACCATGTTTTCCACGTCCGCACTGCCTCTGGACGCTGAGTTTGTGATGCCCTGCTGGGCGCCTCTATCCCGTCAGACGCGTGGGACTAGCCTGGAGAGCGCCGATGAACGGGAGTAAAATAAAAGTTTTCTCATTGAGAGCGGTGCCTGGGAAACCCTTGTCAACACTAGTTGGCTGTCCTACCAGACAACGTTGTTCTAACATCATGTATTCGCTTCTTTTAGGGAATGATTTAATCGTCTTTTTGGCAGACCAGAACGCACCCTATTTTAAACCCAAAGTAAAGGTGTCCTTGAAGTAAGTACCTGTGTATTTGTTTCTGTAAAACAGGCATTAGTGTAAGAAGAGATATGTAATAGGCAGCCTCTGAAAGCACGCTTACCCAACTGTGGGGCTGGCACCAAACCGCCGGTCACGAGGGATGCGTGGGATGTCATTTGTTTGGAAATATCCTGAATGCACCAAAGTTTACAAGTGATTTACTCTAAAAATAAATAAAATGAGAGGATCTAGGTCTGTTCCTGCAGCCGCTTGCCGCACCCGTGCGGTCTGATAGGCTTCCTCGAATGTGCTGCGGACTGCCTGCCCCGCATCCTGAGCATGCAGCTCGCTCACAGACTTACCGGGTCAGCTGTGTTGGGGGGCGGGGAGGGGCGTCCTTTGCACAGGGAGGGGGCCAGTCCCCTCTGTCCTCAGTTTTCCTTTGTTTATTGATTGGTGGGTGGTGAGTTTTTAAGGTTGATTTTGAAGGCATGCAAATGAGGATACATTTTTTAAGTGTTCAAATAATAGTCCTTCTTTTATGTGACCGGCATTGCATAAAACACAGAGACCACTGTCAGAAGCGAGCCAGTGTACTTCTGAAGCTATGAGAAACAAAGGATTGATTGCTGGCTGGTTCAGGGAGGAAGCGAGGAGGCAGTGCAGGCTAAAGTGGTAGCTTCTAGAAAGCTGGGGGACTTCAGCCTGACCTTAAGTAGACTTTAAGTGAGGGCTTTCAAGTTGGGGGTTCAGCATTATCAAGAGATGGCAGTTAAAGCAGCACGTTGTGAAGAGGAGCCGGGAAGGCTTGCCTGACGGAAGCGGGGTGCTCAGTGCAGGGCCGAGACGGGAGACGCGATTGGCCGGCTGGGAACCTCCATCGACCTCAGACAGAACGCGTCGGAACCCAGTCCCGTGAGGTGGGAAATCATTAGAGGTTCTTGTTGAAAGGAGAGATGACGAAAACAGTATTTTAGGTTCACTGACTTGTTAACCACATGCAGGACGAACGGTGCATGGAAAGATAAGAAGTTACTTAGGAAACATTTAAAAAAATATGTTTCACCCCTGACTGGTGTGGCTCAGTTCGTTGGGCACCATCCCGCAAAGCAAAAGGTTGCCAGTGGGCTTTCAACATGCTTGGGTTGTCGGTCCAGTCTCACGTCAGGACGCGTGTGGGAAGCAACTGATCGATGTTTCTCTCCCTCTCTCCCCTTCTTCCCCTCTGTTAAAAAAAAAAAAAAATCAGTCCCCATGTGGACTAATGAGTCCTCAGGCTTTACAGCAGTTAATTCTAAAGATGTAACAAGAAACAACCTTGAGTTAGAACATTGAGAGGGAAGTTGTAGGTGAACAAGCAGGAGCTCGCCCCCGGAGAACTGTTCTGAGCACTGGATATCGGCGTGCTTACAGCGGGGAGGGAGCAGAAATTGATAAATATACATACGAGAAGTGGGCTGCCTTATGTGCAAGAAATTTTCTTCTATACCAGAAATGCTTATTCTTGGAAGATTGAAAGTTAAGGAAATGTATGGGATTTAAAGGGCATGGGTTCCACAAATTCTTTTTTAAATCCCAATTAATCTTTTTGTATTCGTGCAGTATTGTTTTATATACATCAGGTTCCAGAATAACATTGTTTTGCCCTATGTCGTTTCATTATGACGTTGATGAAATGCACAGGAACTTAATTGTGTCTATCAGCCAGCCTATGAGAAAACTGGTTTCGTTATATGTTGTTTCACTTAAAGTCAAAAAACCTGTCAGTAATGTTAAGTGAGGACTTACTGCACTTTTAAAATTTTGAAACTCTTGTTTTTCTCTTTATTTAGACGTTTTTTTAAATAAAAATAGCTGTTCTTCACCCTTTCCCTCCCCCACTTTCCTTTGCCTCTCTCAGATGCAAACGCTTTTAGAACTTTTAGCTGTGTCTTCTGGTGTTTATTTCCGTACTTTAAAACACGTTCCTTCACTGTCGGCTGGATTTTCTGCCAGCGCAGGTCAGGGTCCCCATCCTTAGGTCACGTCCCGCACCTCTGCAGGGCTGTCTGCCGTGCTCCGCTAGGCCGGCCGGCCCCGTTCGCCCTGGGCCGTGGAGGTTCTGTGCGCTGCAGAGCCAAGCCGCGCGGAGCGGCACTTCTGTGCGGGCTCCCTCCTGGAGTAGAGGGGGGCTTCTTAAAAGACGAGTTGCCCGTCTTCTGTGCACAGGTCCTTATTTTCTTTGCAGGTGTCCCCCCCACCTGCCACGCCCCCTCTGTGCTCTGTGATTTCCCTGCTGAGTGCCCGGCACTCTCGTCCCGCCACGAGGCACCCTCTAGGCCTTCTGCAGAGTTGTCCGTGCAGGGGCCTCCCTTGCTGGTCTTTGCTGGACCCTTGGGTCCGCTGCCTTCTGTCCGAGCATCTTCACCTCCGTCACTGGAGCGCGACCTGGGGAGCGCCTAAGGGAGGGGCCGCCCTTCAGCCCCAAACCTTGCTGCGCGCTCTTCGCCCTCCCCTGCCTCCTGTCTTCCCGCCGCGCTGGCTGCTGTTTTTGTGGTTGCTGCTTTCCTTTCTCCTCATCCTTCACGCGTGACTTGCTTTATTTTAAATTTTGGAAGCTCTTAGGGTCTCTTTGTTATCCCTTTGCACGGAAATTTCACGATGCTGCGTCTCGGTGCAGATTACTTTCATTCCTTCTGCGGGCGCGGGCTGGGCCCCGTCAAGCCGGAGGCTCCTGTCCTGGAGGCTTTCTCAAAGGTTCGGACATTGTTTCTTTGGTAATTTTTTTGTTTCCTCTTTCAGGAATGCCTGTCAGTTGGTTATGGGACTTCGTGGGTCCTCCTTTATTCCTCTATTTTAACTGCATTTTTGTCGTTTTGTTTTATTTTCCTTTCCAGGGGGTTTTCTCGGTGCTATCCTAATCCTTCTCTTGAATTTTTTATGTTAGCTGTCATATTCCTCCATCTGCAAGAAGTTTTATTTGTTCTCTCACTGGTTTTTCTCTCATGCCATGCTGTTCTTTAGCGTTTTTTATTGGACATACTTCCCTTCTGTCTCAAAGTGTAGTTTTGAGGTTTTCTTTTATTCTATTATTTCTATTTTCTTCAGATTTCTTACTGCTGTTGTTTTGCCCTCTTTAATATTCACAGTTTTCTTGGAAAGGCAGGGTATCTATTCATAGTCAAGAGGAAGCACTAAAAAGCTACTGTGGAAACTGCATCTCCTGCCCCTTGTCTCCTGCCTCGCGTGTGTGTTCCTGCCGAGTTAGCCCTGGGGGCGGGGGCCGGGGGGGGAGCGTGGAGGGGCATCAGGCTGTTCCTTCTGTGGGCCTCCCACCCAGTGCCTCTTGTCAGCTTGAGGCCCGGCCTTGCCCTCACCGTCCCTTAAACCTCTGAGCCTGAAACTTCCCAGGAGTGAGCTGCTTGGTTCCTGCCTTGCTGGGGGACAGGTGAAAGGGACCGCCCTCCACAGCGCAGACCTCAGCCCAGCCCGCCTCAGCCCTGCGCCTCGCGCCTGCCTCCAGAGCCTTTCTCTCCTGGCGCTTGAGCTTCCAGTGCCCTGCCCGCCAAGCCCGCCCGCGCCCCTCCATCTGCTCGGTCCTGCCACGTCGCCTTGGTCTAAGTTCCCATCTAAGCCTTTGTCCTCTATGCCTGTCTGTTTCAGGGGGCTTTTTGCCGCCACAGCATGAATGTTTTTGGACAAATGTTACTGGCGAGTGCGTGCAGCACATATGGCTGCGCGGTCCCACGTAAACACGCACCCGTGCAGAGGCGTCCGAGCTAAATGCAGTTTGCCACGTGGGAGCGTGTGGGGTCGGTCTGTTGCCATTTTTAAACACCAGTCATTTTCCATGGGAGGGTAAAGATCGTTGGAATTCTTCGAGGAAACTGGCGTAACCAAGAATATTTTATTGTAAGAAGGACCAATTTTAGGTGCCAACCCCCTGAATTTGAATTCCAGCCACTCCATTTAATAGTGGAAGCTCCTTCATTGTTCTAAACATCAGGGTCCTAGTCTGGTCAGTGAGGAAAACACCTATTTTAGGTAATGAAGATTAAATGATCAGATGATATATGGCTCCTGAGCACTTGGTATAATTTCTGGGACAGACTAAGTAGACGGAGTATAACAAAGCTGTTACTGTGTTGCGCTTCCTCGCTGCCTTTTCAGCGGTGTCCTTATTTTCAGTTCCAACTAGACGCAGGCCCATGCGCACAGGTTCCGATGACCTTGGGAGACTGATTGCCCAGGGTCTATTTGGGAACTTGCTGTCCTGCTCTTTGCTCTGAGCAGAACTAACTAGGAATTGAACTTAAGGCCTCTATTTTTTTGGCTGGGTCACTCACACACATCATGACAAGACTGCAGAATGTTAAGTTTTCAAGTTTAATGTAAACAGTTGTAGAATTTTTTTTGTTGAAAGCATGACATCGGGTGTGCATGTTTTGATACTGTATTGCCAGCTTTGGTAAAAGGAACTTAGTTTCCATGGTGACTCTTGAGTAGCTTTCAGAAGGAAAATGATTACTTAGTTTTTACGGTATATCAAATCTGCATTAAAATCCAAAATTAAGTATTTTAAAAACATCTTTTAACTAACACAACGACAGTGACACTCGTTGCCGCTTTAACACTTGATCATGAGCCCCCGTTTGATGTGAACACCTTCCAAACGCCGTGGTGTTCTTGACAGAAGAACGAAGTAGAAGCAGCATCTCCGTCAGGGCTTGAACGAAAGGCTGAGGTTTTTCTTGACGTCGTTCAGATTGCGCTTGTGTCTCAGGACACCTTTGCGTTCGCCCTGAGTTCCGTAGACCGCAGAGGCCCGCACGCGCGCAGGGCGGTAAGATACTGCGAAGGGAGTGACATCAGGCCCGGCTGTGGAGGGTCGCGTGCTGCGTGGAGAACAGTGAGCGTGGTGCAGGTGCGGGGCGCCCTCTCCACACGCCCTGACGCGGTGCCGTCCGCTCCTTTCGCGCAGGAATCACAGTGCCTTGATCACAGGCGTCGTCCCGGGGGACTACGACGGAGACTCGCAGATGGACGTCCTCCTGACGTATCTGCCCCAAAATCATGCCAGCAGCGAGCTAGGAGCTGTTATCTTCTGGGGGCAAAATCAAACCTTAGGTGAGTTGGTTTCAGGAGTTTTTAATAGTTGTCATTGGATGATAAAGGAAAGATATGCCTGGTATTCTTAAGTAACAAAACTTGTGTTCTGAAGTCAGTTAACAAAAATGCATTTCTTGAATATCAGTAATTGTCTGTAGAAAACTTTTTTTAGAAGTCCACTTTCTGATTTTTCATTATTGACCGAGACCTGGTCTAAGGTCAGTTCCAGAAAACAAAATTCAGCCTGGCTAGCAAGGAAGAGAGAGATGTATTAAAGGGTTTTGGTGGAACAGAAGAACAGACTCTAGGTTGAACCTTTTGGAACAATCCCCAGCCTTCGGGAAGATATTGCCTTTTCACCAGCAGAAAGTGCCCGTTTGCACAGCAGCTGCCAGAATGGCCTGTGCCCAGCCAACTGCCCTGCACCTGCCCCTGAGACTCACAGTTCAGTGCTCGGACTCTGGGAAGACGGGCCTCCTGCCTCCCGGAACTCAGCCTGTCTGAGGGGCAAGGCTCGCATTTAGTTCAGAGTCTCAGGCGCAAGGAAACCTGGGAAACGCCGCACAGGAACACACAAGGGTGGGGCGGAGGTGAGGGTCAGCCTGCCATGCCCATTCCTGCGCCTCCGAGTCTTACTCAAAAAGCCAGTTACTGCACCTAATAAACAGCCTCATTCATGGGGCGGATTTCAAGGCGGGGCAGAGAGGCTATGGTTGTGTTTCCTGTAACCCTTGGGCACGCAGACAGTAACCCCAGTGCTTCAGCTCTGTCAGCCAGTGAGGGCCTGAGCGGGGGGGCCACGCGGGAAAGCGCAGCTCGTTTATGAACGGAAAGTTCTGCACGTGTTGTCTTCTCTACTAAGAAACCTTCATCTGCTGCTGTTCTGCTAAATTGTATATAACAAAGACTCACCTAAGAGATCTTCAGGGTGAAGCCTCACATGGAAGTTACTGTAATGCTGGTCTTCACTGTAGAATGGACTCACCCAATGTTGTGCGTTTACCAACTTGATGTCCATTTGCGTTCGGTTTATAGTGTCTCATTAGTGGGAATAGTTGGAATTAACTAGAGATGAATCTTGAAAAGAATGGCAGGCTCTTTTTCCCCTTGGGTAGATTCCAAAAACAACGCAAAATGCCTGTGATTTGTGTGTGTGCTTTCTCCGCAGACCCTAATAACATGACCATCCTCAACAGGACTTTCCAAGACGAACCTCTAATTATGGAGTGAGTATGCACTGGCTTCCCTTTGATGGCTTTAGACTGGCAATCGTGGAATAAAGTTGTTCACATGAAAGCTACTTGGCAGGGGAGCCTCGACATGGAATCCATTCTCCCTCTGAAGCAGAGGAGGGCCTACCCCCTCGGTCATTGGGTGTTTATTTGCCATGATGGAGGAAAGAGGACGAGGAAATTCAGTATTTAGGGAAGAAGAAGAGATTGTGTTTCTTTCTGTTTCGGTGGCTTTGAATGTGTCTGTGGTGGAGCTGTGTCGACGCCGCCCAGGTCGTTAATCGAAGAATTAAGAAAACTGTGCGGGGGTAAAACGGTTAGTGCTGAGGTGACGGATATCAAAGGCGCGGGACTTCCTTCAGGGATTTACTCCGGTTTCCGCCTTGAGGAGGAACTTCTGTCCTTTTTCAGCTCCTCCTTGGTGGTATCATTTATTTCCTCCAGACAGACTCATACCAGCATAAAATTCATACAACTCCCAGGGTTTTGTCACGGGGTAGAGGTCACGCAGGGGCCACGCTCTTGCCCTTCCATAGTCATTAAAACCTCAGCCTGACAGCAGCAGGCCGTGGCCGTGGGGTCTCCGGATTCATGGATTCCCCCTAAGGGCGCTCGGCGCGATTTCTTTCACCGCGCCCGTTGCCCTTTGCTGTGGCCGGTTTGCATCGTCACACCAGCCAGGGAGTACTTTCGTGCGTTATTTTTCCTAAGTCTAACTGCAAGTTGGGTGATGATTCTGAAATAAGTGACATTTCCTTATCACGCGTGGGTGGGCTAGGTAGGCAGAGGTCACGGACGACCCCAAAATGCAGAACAAAAGCTTGTTTCTCGCTCGCCCTGCACATCGCGTGTGGGTCGGCGACAGTCCCCGTTCCAGGCCGTCACGCAAAGCCAGGCTGGCATCTGGGCATCTGGGCTGTGGGCATGCGGGGTGGGGGCGGCACTGGAGGGTCCCGGCACAAAAATCACCCCGCACGCCAGGAAGTGACACGTCAGCCCCACCGGCATTCCACGGGCCACCGCGGGTGCTGGTGAGCATCGTGACGTCTGCCACGCCTCCCGAAGGCCCTCGAGTTGGAGAATGTAATCAAACGGCCACCTGCTGTTGTCTTTTCAGCTTCAACGGTGATTTGATTCCCGATGTGTTTGGTGTCACAAACGGATCCAGCCAGCCACAGATACTGCTAGGAGGGTGAGTGAACAGCGTGGCTGGGACCACGCAGTCAGTGGCGGGGGCTGCCGCCGCTGCGGACCGTGTGCCCGTGAGCGGGCCCTCTGAGCCGGGGCGGGGGAACCCAGCTCTTTGGAAATCCTTGTCCCTTTTTCTTTTCAGTTTTTAAAAATGTATTGATTGATTTTAGAGAGAAAGAAACAGCGATTTGTTGTTCCACTTATGCACTCATTGGTATGTGCCGTGACCAGGGATCGAACCAACAACCTTGGAATATCAGGACAACGTTCTAGCCAGCTGGCTTACTCGGCCAGGGCCCAGAAATACTTGTTCTTGAAGATTTTTAGAAGGGCATTTGGTCACTCTCAGCTTTCCCAACCAGTCTGGGTCTGATCTACACGTGCATTCTGTGGGCAGCCAGCTTAATCTCCCTGTCCATCTGGACGTGAGAGGTGCAGACTTCCCAGGTCCCCATTTAAATACGGGTCCATTAGGTGGTTTTAGAAATGGAAAATTTTAATTTAGATATGATGGATATTGCTGTCTTGACGGGATTCTCCACCTTGGCCGCACTGGCTCCCAGATTCTTAGTAGCAAGCTTTGCGCCGTGTTTCCTCTCTTTGCTCAGTGAGCAGTCGATGGTTGCCTGAGAGGACAGACATGCCTCCTCTCAGCTCTCGCACCTGTTCCGGGTGTGCTTTCTCCTTGACCAGGATGCGGGCCGGGACTCTCGCCATCCAGTCTCCCTGTGCCATCCTCAGCAAAGGCCACCTGGAACCAGGCAGTTCAAAGATCTTCATTATAACTCCTCCAGGCTTAAAATAGAATCGCCCTAACACAAGAATTTGTGACAGAATACTTTTCATTAGACACCTTCAACCTGATTAATTTCCTTCGTATCTGAGAAGGGAGAATTTTAGTTCAAGGGCACAGAACACATGTATTCACTTTTTTGACTTCCCAGTAAGTGCAGACAAACACCTCTATCAGACCATCTTCCCAGGCACTTGGAAATCTAATGAAGTTTCCTCCTGTGCTTCGGAGAAGTAGTGTTTTTATGAATAGGTTTTGAAATGTGATTCACAGGAACACAGGTGAATAAATTGTCAAAATTTAAGGTGTTATGAAGGAAAACTGTTGTATTTCCTATCATATTTTTCTGAAGGTTTACAATAAAGAATATGGGAGTTTTGATCCTATTCATACTGAGCTTTGAAAGACTTACTGTGAATCCTGAATAAGAAACCTGTTTTTGCCAAAAACTTTGAAAACCCCTGCAAGAGAACCTTGTTTTCGAGGCCAGCTGGATGGAGGTCCTGCTTGGCCTGTGTGGCTAAGAGCGGGGGCGGGTGGGGTCGCGGCTGCACGGCCGCTGCTGCCACGGTGGGGCCTGCCTGGTCGCCTGGGCCGGGGCCGCCCAGGGACCTGTCTAGTATCCTTGTGTGTTTTCTACTGAGCCTGCAAGAAACCGACTCAGAAGACTGTCATGTGATAGTGGATTAGCTTAAGCAGTTGCTGTGAATTCTATATTAGGTTTTTTCCTCTGCTGATTCTTGACACACTCCAGCTTTTAAATTGGGTCCTGCCTAAAGGCGCGCCCCCTTGGGGTTTTATACATTCTGCTCCGGGTGCTCCCGCGCGCTGGCGCAGCGCTCTGCGTTTTATGATCTCTCGTTTAAACTTCTGTTACAGATTAAACGGCAGCCGACTGTGCTGTGAGTAACCCATGTGTTCCCAGGGTTTGTCCTGGTGCCGGTTGAAAGAACGAGGAGACTCAAGTTGGCAGGGAAGGGTCTCTGCTCGCCGCGCCGCCAGCGCGGCTGTGGCCGGTGGGGCCGCGGCTCGGCGGCAGGACGCTGAGCGTGCCGCTGTGGGAGCGCGCAGAAACGCGTTACTAAGTCATGAGAAATACACGTAGGCCACGTCCGCTGCGTGAGGGGCAGACGCACGCCAAGGAGCCGAGTGGGAGGCCGCCGGCACTGGCGTTTCGGGCTGCTCGCGTGGCCTCCAGCGGACGCCTGGCCTCACGCGTCGGGGACGCCGGCCTCGCTTTTGCCAGGTCGACGCTGCGCCCCTGGACGTGCCATACCCGAGAGCGTCTTAAGTTTACTTAGCTGTGGCCGGCGCCACCCGTTTACGGGAGATGTGCGATGACCTTTAAATAAAGCACTGGTGTTCCCCTTAGGGCTGTGCTGGAAGCCCCGGCTGCCTATGGGGTGCCGCCTTGGAAGCCAGAGACTGCCCACAAGTCAAACAGGCGTGGCCGGTTTGGCCAGAAGCAGGGGGCCCAGGTCGGAGTGGCAGGCAGTGGGTACAGGCGGGCGGCTCCCGTGACTGGGGCCACGGGGGTCACAGGACAGGGACCAGAGGTGCCGCGCCCACTTAGGTGCCGGGGTCAGTGACGCGTGTGAAGTGGTCAGAAGGGAGGCTCCAGTTTGCAGCTCGACCTCGTTTTGTAACAACTTGAAGTGATGTCATCATGCCCCACATGACGCAGAAGCAGCACCTCGCTGGGAGGTGTTAGACCTGCTTTTGCAGGGGCGCGAGGGGGTTGTCAACGGTCGTTTGCTGTGAAAGGGTGTTGGAAACCGACACTGCGTCGGCGTTCAGGGTAGTGCCTGGGGTATTGAAGTGAAAAAATGTGTGTCCGTCATTTTCATCAAAGCCAACCTTCTCTGGCTCACACCCAGAGTTCAAAGCCACGTCTGGGCCAGGCCCAGGCTGCGTTCTTGGGAACACTGACACGGGTGAGTGGCAGCGATCACCGCCGTGCCACGCTCTGTGGACCTCGCCCGTGGCCGCGTGGAGGCGTTGAGCGTCGCCTCTGGCCCCGAGAGCCGCTGTCGTTAACTCCCAGGCACGGGGGCGGGGCTGCCGTCGCCTACGGACACGCGGGTAGCCGCCCTCAAGCCCGAGCGAGTGCACCCCTGTTTTTCCGTGTAGCCTTTCGTCTTGCCTCACGGTGTAACCAGAGCCTCATTTATCCAGGCGCCTTTCATCTTTACTGCTTTTGTTTGCTGACGCATCACAGAAAATGTCGCAAGTAGTTATCTTAATGGAAAAATAATATGATATCGTATCACTTAAATCTGTTGTTTAGAAAGAATATGAAAATTGTGATGAGGTTATAACACAAAAGAAAACCAAATAACCCTCCAGGCAGCTGTTCACTTTGTAGTCGGCGCTAGAGCTCATCGTCGCAGCCGAAGTCGGTGGCTCCGAGGCGGCTCCGACTCTCTTCGGGCTTCCCTGGTGGCCTCCCCCGCTCCCCGCACACCCCGCACACCCCGCTTATATTTCAAACCTGAGAAGTAAGTTTTTTAGTGATGTTTCCATAGAAACGCTGCATCCGTTTTTAACTGTTATCTTTTCCTAAAGAAATTTTATAATTGGAGATAGGTTATTCTCCCATTGTTTCTCACCTAATTTTTTTTTTTTAATTAAGCCACAGCAATAGTGAAAAGTTTCAGCAGATGACTTAAAACGATACGTGCCGCGCCTGTTTCACGTGGCACATTCCTTAAGGGCCCATACTTGTGTTTCCTGGAGGGCGCCTCCCCGCCCCCAGCTCCGAGGGCCCTGACTCCCAGTCCCCAGGACGCACCTGCTGCTCGGTGCCAGGTGCTGGCGGGTGGCGTTGCATGCAGGCGAACGCTTGTTTGCTTTGAAATGAATGATTTAAGATGTTCTCAAAATGTATTCGCGTTGCTCTTAGTTAAATTAAATCTTACAGTTCTTAGATGTATATTTTTTGAAATAATCATTCGGAAACATATCAGCTTCTTGAGAAAAGCCTAGTTTTATAGTTTCTGTGCAAAGAAATTTGTAACATTTCATCATGAATATTGATATTTAAAAGTGTCTTGAATTTAGCTTTTCTATTAGCATACATCACAGTTATTTTTTATTTCTTTAAAGAGAAACCATTTTGTTTTACTCCTTTACTATTTGCATTTGTATTGGGAAAAAGGTCCATTTTAAAGCAAGCATGGAATACCACTGAACTGTACACTTAAAAATGGTTAAGAATGAAATTTTATGTTACTATAACAATAAAATAATTTGGAAAAAACAAAAAGCAAGCAGAATTAGAAAGGCCACTTATACAGCATACTTTGATTAAAATTAGTATATATTAGCATTTCAATTTTGGGTAAAAGGCAAATATAATTTCTGAAAATATAGATTTATACTTTCTGAAAGTACAAGTTAAGTCCTCTTTCATTAGATCCCTGTTGCAGTTTTTAAAAACACGTTGTGCTGTTGAAAATGCCCCAGACTCTTGACTCTCACCCTCTGGAGGCCTGGCTCAGTCCGCACTGGCCCACGCCCGGCGGGGGCGCATCTGCGGGCCTTGCCCTTCTCCCTCCTGCTGGCGCCTGAGGCGAGCCCAGAGCGTGGGGCTGGGCGCCGCTCCCAGGAGCCTGGGGCAGTTGCGCACCGTGGGGGCAGCCGCAGGGGACAAACCCACCGATCTGCCGGCAGAAACCTCCACGGCCCCCTGGTGACTGTCAGAGGCTGTTTCTGAGGGCTCTGAGGACTGCCTGGCCCGCCCCCACCTGTGAGGGTCAGCAGGGGCTCAGCGCGGGGCTGGCCATCCAGGATGGAGCGGGGCGGCCTTGTCCCCAGGGACCGTCTGCTCCCTCTGCACCCCGGGCCCCTCCAGGAGAGGCTTGGCAGGGGTGGGGAAGAGCGCAGAGGACGAGGAGCTTGAGTAAAAGCCTTTACAGAGATGCCCACGGAGGAGCTCTGGGCTGGCCTGGCCCTTGCCATCAGCTTTCTAGTGTTTTCTTACAGCGCACGGCGCGTGTGGCTCAGGAGGCGCACTCAGCGGCCAGGAGGCCCTGTGCGCTCGCAGAGCATCCACACGCGGCGGGCCTGGGTGGGAGCCGGGCGCCCACGGCCGCTGACCCCTGCACCAGTGACCACGGTGGGCGTCCCGGGGGGTCTGGGTGCTGGCCCGGGGCCTCCTCCTAGCACCGGAGCTGCTTCACCCCCAGAGCCTCGGGTTGCGGGTGCGC